CACAACAAAAGCAAAAATAAAGTGTAGAAATGGGAAAAAAAACAACGAAGAAAAATGAGAAATAACACATTGAGCTGTCCTAAATTCAACACCTTGCTTTGGTCAGCCATGTTAGTTGCCTGGCACACGCAATACGAAGCACAACTAACGGCTGCAGAGCAAAGTCCTTCAAGCAAATAATAGAGCTCATCAAGTAGGCAGGCAGTTCGTTCCGAAGGCCCTTTCATAATTAATCAAGCACATACGTACATACAGACACAAAAAAAAAACAAGCATAGACTATACATAGATTTCGATTTCTACGAATTATTTTCAAGCAACGAAATCAAGAATTTAACTATGTCTGATATCCTTGCAGTCATGCCGATGAATGGACAGGCGGCGGGCCAGAATGGACGCAAGCCACGGAGCAACGACGGTGCGTATGAGTAATATTTGTATTTGTTAAGCGTTTTCGTCGGCCCACGGCCGAAGGCTCTCCGCCAGCTGTCAGTTTCCCAAATCACTGCTCAATATTTCAAGAGCTACACGCCTTGCATAGCAAATGCAACGACCTTCAAGGTCTCAACAATGAAAAAAACGAACGAAAATTTCCTGAGAAAACTTGAAAGTCAAAAAAAAGGAAAGTAAAGCTAAAGTAAATTCGTAAAGTTGTTGAGACTTTAAGTTGAGCATTTGCTTGGCTTTTAATTTCGTTTTTACTTGCAAATTGCATGCAAACACGAATAGCCGAAAAAAAAGCAACAACAACAACTAAAACTTGTGCTGAAATCGAAACCGGAAGAGCACGAGACGAAGGGCAATGTGGGGGCGGCAACGGGGACACTGGGCGTGTCTGGTACTATGCAAATTTTGGGTGTTAAATTAATTTTTGACTGCACTTGGATTTCTCATTTATTTGTTTGCGGATAATAGATTTCTCGGTGAAGCTATCGACCATCCGCATCTGGATGCACGAAAAGGATATTGGCAAGCTGACGCGCATTTTGTGGGCGGGCCAGGGACAGCGCCTCTGTCAGCAGGCCAGCAACAATGGGCGTGTCAAGCGATTTTTAGCCGCCGTGCCGCACGTCATGGTAAGCTCCATTTTATTCGTTTGACAACTGACTTGTGCGCCGATAACGGTACAGCGATTGCTATAGAATGCCACGAAGGATCTGCACCAGGCGGTGATCGATAACAATTTGGAGTCGCTGCAAATGCAGCTGGAGCCGCCGGTGCCGCCAGCCCTGGTCACGGCCAAGGATAGCAATGGCCTGAACGTCATACACAAGGCCGCTGGCCTGGGTCACACCAAGATGCTGGAATACCTAGTGGGACTCTGGCCAGAGGGCGCACACGAGATCGATATCACGGGCAAGACGCCGCTGCATTGGGCCGCCAGTGCCAAGAATAACATGCGCTGCTATACGCTGCTCACACAGGCCGGCTGTGATGAGGAGGCGCAGGATTATGTGAGTAACGGACACGTACACATACATATATGAGCACACATGCACACAAATAACCTTAATAGGTCGAATAAAAGAACTAGTTCATTTATTGGTTCATGAACTGATTAGCTAGTTTAGTTTTTGGGCCATGTGCAGGCGTACTAGACCATTAATTGGTTCATAGATTGATGAACTGGTTCATTTTTTGGTCCAATTGGTGAACTAGTTCTTCAATCAGAACATTTCCAGATCATTTATTCCCATGATACTTTGCTTATTACTAAAAAAAACCCTCATAAATGAGTCAATAATGATGACAGCCTAGTTCATAATATACCTAGTTCACTTATTGACTCTCCCAAGTACTTTACAGTTTCACGAGCTTGCAGTAAACTCTCCATTTAACTAATTTTTCGACTCGAATTTCTCAGAAAATGAAGACCCCTTCATACTATCGCCATAAGCCACACGAAATCGAGCGAGCTTTTCTGGTCTATGTGCCGGAGGCGCCGCGCATCTCCCCGGATAGCGTCACCGATTGGGAGGCGCTGAGCGATGATAACGATAGTAATGCTGGCGGTGACGCCAGTCGCAGCAGCAGCAAGCAGGTAAGTGCGAGGGAGATGGAGAGTGTGTGAGAGAGGGAGGGAGTGAGAGAGCTGAGGCTTTTGCTGCTTGGCTAATTGAAAAGCTTGTGTGGTCTCGTCTTCAATAGAAATTGTCCAGCAAGCCGGCAGTCATTGAGAACGGTCGTAAATCGTTGGACGACAGCGCTGAGAACACCTCCGAACTGGACACGAATGATGGGTAAGTGGTTTGTTGGCAAACGCCGTTGACATTGACTTGGCCTCTAGCATGGCCAGCTTTACGATGCGCTGCGGGGGGCTGAGGCGGGGCTGGCTAAAGGCTTTTGCTACGTTTCCTCTTTTATTTACTGTTTATTTTTTTGGTTTTGGGCATGGCTTTTGAGAGTTTTTTGCATTTTGATCGAAATCGAAACAAAATCCACGCAGTACCAGCGCCATTGAGGATGATGAATTATCCAAGGCGGAGGCGGATGTGAATGGAGTTGCCGCAGCGGATGCCGATGCGAATGATGATGCAAAGGCCGCATCGCCGGTCCCACAGCGCCGTCCCGAAACTCCGGCTGCTTTTGCCACCGGCAATGGCAACGACACAGCCGGCGACACTGAAAGCGATGCTGAGGTAAGTCCCCTGAGGCTAGCCAGGCCCATGGCCTGAGTTCCTTTATTTTTGGTTTTTGCTGTTTAGACGCTCTGCACCCCGCGCTTTTGCTGTACAGTTTTAGTTTTAGTAGTTCTCTCTGGGTCCACTAGCCGAGCGAACAGCTGCAGCTGCAATCGTTTGTCTTAGTTGCTGTCAAAGTAAGCTATTGTCGGCTAGGATGCGGCTTTCTTTTATGCCCCAGCCACACACACACACACACATAGAGAGAAATTTATTCACCTACATAAATATACTTACACTGATATACTGTTAACCTATGAAGTCTGTGGGAGAAAATACCCTTTGGCAATCCTCTCGAAGGAAACTTCAGGTTTGTCTTTCTGGGATATTACTTAGACGTTCCTTTTGCAAAGTCTATTGGACTCTGATGAGTGCTCTTCAGAAAATTTAAACTAATATAGAGTTGCCTTTAAATATATGAGATTTTAGCTTTAGGTATGTCAAATTTGCCTATTAAATCAGAATCAGAGTAAAACTGATTACATTTATTGCATTTAAGGAATTATTCAGTTGTCTTTAAATAACCCAAGAACTGCCTTCAGTACTGTGCTCAAGAAAATGAATAAAACACACACATTCATATCCCTTGTAAATACTCTTAGTTTTCTATCGGTTTAATACTTAGCAACATAATTATTTACTGTACTATAGAAGCTTTTCATCAGCTAAACTCATGCAATCATAGCCTTAAATATAGTTTCGTATATCTCCAAGAAAAATCGACCACATTGGAAAGCTTTGCGAGTAAATGAAAAATACAAGAACTACCGTATATGTATCGTAAACGCGCTAACGATATATGAATAGCTTTGACAATTTATATTATAAATCTACAATAGCTTTCAGGTCTTTGCCCAGAAGTCTTCTATGAATAAATTCTTCGTTGATAAGCAATCGATAAATTGGCGATAGAGTTGCACACCTCCCAAACTGTATATAATAACAAAGTACACACCCACACAAACACAAAAAGAAAGGTTTAAGAACACGCATATCAAGCGCTTTGTCAGCTCGACTGATCCATGTAGATAAAAAAAAAATAAAAAATAAAAATAAAACAACTAGAACGTGTTCACAAAGGAAAGCAATCAGTCGACAATTGTTTACTTTTGCAGAATATTGCAGGAGCTGTAAGCGCTGAAGGAGCTGAAGTTGAGGCCGAGGCAGCGGAGCCGGCGATGGATGGCGATGGGGCAGAGACAAGTGTAGAACCGATTGAGAATGGAATTATGGATGATGCTGTTGGGGCTGAGAGTGAGCAAAATGCAAACGAAAAGACTGAAGCGATTGTGAATGAGAGCGAAGCGGAAATGGAAATTGAAACGGAAACGGAAATGGCAGCGGAAGAGCAGCAGCAGCAGCAGCAGGAGCAGGAGCAGGAGCAAGAAACAGAAACTGCAGAAGAAGCACACGAGGAGAAAGAGGAGGCTAAAGAAGAGAAGCAAACTTCAAATGCTGCTGCTGCTGCTGCTGCTGAGGAGGAGGAAGTGGAGGAGGACGACGATGAGGTACAGATTGGCTTGCTTTAAATGCCAATTCATGTGCAGTCAGCAATTGTTTGAACGATTCGATGTTATTTGTGTGGCGTTTGCTCAAAGCGTTTTACCATTTCTTTTGTTGTTTTCAAATTGTGAACTGTACAAAAAAAAAAACAAAAACAAAAACGAAATTAGCTCAAATATATATATATGTATAGCTCAACTCTGTACAACAACAACAACAGCAACAGCAACGTAGCCGCAACCGCAACAGCAACAACAACAACAATAACAATAACACAGCTATATCTATCTCTTGTCTAAATACGCTAAAATCGATATCGTCTATTACCCCATATTGATATATCTATCTAATCAATTGTATTTTGTAAACGTGTGTTAAATTTCTTACTCTAAACAAGCATAAAAATAATATCAAACTCTGCAATAAAGTAAACGCAACTCGTGTGTTTTTGTTTATGTTTTGCACTCGAACTCGATTTCCATCTAACATTTTTCCCATAATCCATTCGTCATTTGTGTATGTTTCTCGCCCACACTCCATTTCACTTTCTCTTTCTCTCTCTCTCTCGCTCTCTCTCTCACTCTCGCTGTCTCTGTTTGTTTATAGATCTAATCAATGGCTGCATTGCGAAATTGTTTTTGCGCATATCGATTTGACAAACGAAACCAAATCAGCAGCTGTTTGACTGCAGATACACTTTCATTTCCCCATTTTCTTGTATAAAAATACTAAAGAGGGGGAGGTAGGCAGACTCTATATACATCTATAAATAATCGTATGCTCCATGTGTGCTCTGGCATTTCACTTTCGCTTGGCATGTCCTTCTCCCTGGCTGTCAGGCAGCCATTCGAATGGCAACTGAGCATGCAATACGTCAAGAACAGTTGTAAACGTTAGATATTGCTGGCATATACATACGTGTGTATATATCATATATATGTATATATATTGCTTGTATACTAGTTATTCATATTCTGCAATTTATTACATTCAATTTGTTTTCTACACATTTGCGTGGGTGTTTTTGCAGCACAACAAATTTCTAATGACTCGAGATCGTATCTCTGCTTGGCTGCAATGCAATCAAGTTAATGCAGCGTATGCGCAATATTACGTATACGACGAGGAGTTGCAGCTGGCAGGAGTAGTAGCAGGAGCAGCAGCAGTAGCAGGACGCACTCATTCGCACCACAAATCAAACCACTCCTCACGCCACCCTCACCCCTCCATTACTTTTGTTGTAGTTGTTCTTAGTCCTGTGTTTCGTATCCTTGTTGCGCACTCTTTAACTAATCCTTAGCTGTTTAGGCCATTTAAGCCAACCGAATAAATGCGCAAAATTCTCTGCAGGATGTGGTAGCAGCCAAACCAGCTCACGTCGAGGAGGCCGAACAGCAACTGGTGCCGGATAACGATGGCGGCGATTCGCTCACATCGTCGCTGGCCATCGAGGGCTTCGTGCAGGGCGCCGCCGAGGATTATACAGTTCAGTCTCAAACATCAGCAGCTTATGATGAAGTGGATGAAGTATAAGCGGCTAAACTTTTTTTCTATCTCCCATCAAACAAAACTTTAACTGAATCACGCTCTCGCTCCATCATTTGCCCTATCTAAATTTCCACTATTTTGATTTTCCTTGACTTTCCTTTCGGCACCGACTCACCCGCTTTCACTTGATGCACACCAGAACTAATGTCGCTCTGTGTGGACCGCCGCTGCAATGTTTAACTCTTGGTTTCTTCACAGGATGGCCGCCTGCAGCAGATCATCGAGTCGGGCGACATGGAGCAGCTGGCCGAGATAGTGCTGAATGGCGAGGGCGGACGTCTGTTGGGTCTCAAGTCCAAGGAGCCGGAAATTCAGGCCTTTCTCAACAACGTGCCCAGCTACATGGTCTGTACCAGGGCCGGCGATAGCCTTCGCCTTAGCCTTTGCTCTATGCATGCGCCATTGTCCACTAATTGCTGCACTCGCTCGCCTTTTGCAGGAGAAAATCCATCGCGTGCACGATGCGGCACGTGACGGCAGTTTGTTGGCGCTGCAGCAGGCGCTGGATCGCCGGAAGTTTGCCATTGCTAAGGACGACATATCACCAAATGGCGCCACGCCGTTGCACGTTGCCGTCCTCTTTGGCCACAGCGGTAAGTGGAGAGGGAGTGCTGGCTGCCTCCATCACAGTTTTGTTCTAAGCCTCAATCAACCCTCAGATATCGTACGCTATTTGGCTTCACGCTTTCCGGAGACCATGGCAATTACGGATAATGACGGACGCACGCCGCTGCACTATGCGGCCACAATTAAGGACAACGGCCACTTCTACAATGTCCTCACGCAGCTGGGCGCCGATCCAAAAGCGCTGGACAAGGTATATATATATGTATATGTTGTATGTTATGTAGAGCACTCTTGCATAATTAAGAGCTAACGGCATTACATAGAGCAACGTTACTTAATTTAAGCAGTTCTTAATGGTAGAAAATTGAGAATTGCTGGCGCTTGCAGTTAGAATAATCGTACACCGTGAATAAATTGATGTATGCTAGGCTAGTAGAGTCGCCTCAATGAGTTAGTTACCCTGTAAATTTGTATATATACGTATAGATATGTACAGTTACATATATAATTTTATTAATTAATTAATTTAGGTAGAGACATTCTTCTTTGTGTCTTATAAATAAGGCAGTTCAAATCATAGTATACCTAATATACCTCATATTGCTTCGTGAGCGGATAATAATAATTAATTATCTAGGTTATACGAAGATCAAGCTCTAATGTATAGGCAGTTACCACAATGTAGAAGACTTAGAACAAAATATACAGTAGAGTCTGGTTATAACGACTCCGCTTTAAATGTTCGTATGGTTCTTGAGACGAAAATTCGGATCCCTAGACAAACTTACAAGAGTAAATTTATATGGCTATAGCGTCATCTGAATATAACGATTGTCCATTGTCGATTGAACGTCGCTATAAGCAGACCTACTGTATATAAATATATAAACAACTAATATAACTAATATGCCCTCTTAAGTTCTAAGCAGGTATAGAAAATATGTGTCAAAAATCATTAACTTACCAATACATTTGCACTTAAAACAAAGTTTTCTTTGTTTGAATAGTGTTTCAAAAGCTTTAAAGTAAATCTCTATCTCATTTTCCAGCTGATTAAATTTAATTCATAATTTAAAGACAAAATATTTAGTCTGATGATCGTTTAACAAATATTAAATTTACCATAAAAAGAAAATTTAAATACCCTTAGTACAGAAAAGTCCTCTGCTGCACTGCTAGTTAATTGACCTATCAAGCCGGATCCACTTTACATTACTATTTAGTACAACAGCTTAATGAGCGTCCTCGCAATGAAAGTCCTCTTAATGAAAGTCCTTTCAGTAATTATTTAAAAACTTTCTGCTTACGCATAGCCTTCCCGCCTCATTATCTATTCAGCTGGAAAGACCAACAGCTGCATTATCCCTCTACTCCTTTCTGCCATTAGCATTGAAAAGGCCTAGCCATAGACTTGAAACTATAAATTTAGTTCCGGAAAATGGGTCAAGTTAAGGCCTATGTGACTTTCATTTGGGTCGCAGTTAGCTGAAGAGCCTTGTCTTCGAACTTGAATCAATATCGTTTATAAATAAGAGATTAACCACAAGGCTTACATCAATTTAAAAATTCTACACGCACGCAGCTGGGCCACACGCCCGAGTTCTATGTGGACATGGAGAAGTCGAAAGATGTGCTCACCTACAGTGAGCTGCTGACCGTATTCGGGGCCGAGGAGCTGGAGAACCAGTTGCTCAGCGATCAAGGTAAACACTCAATTATCCGTTATTTGTTTTGTGTATTTTTTTGCGCTTAAATTGTTTTTGCTTTGCTGTTTGGCTTTGGCATTGTTGTTGTTGCACGCATAATCAAAATACACACACACACACATACATGCATAGCCACACACTTGACTAGTCATCAGAAGGCACTCGCAGTAAAAAATAATTAAATACGTTTTTTTTTTGTTTTTGTTTACTAACCGAAACTTCCGGACTTGATTGGCTGGCTCGTTGACTTTGCCCGCGCCAAGCATCGATTTTCAGTCATACACACACGCACACCTACACACCAGCTGACACACACACACACACACACCAACACACATACACATACGCGTCCTTCGCTGGTTGCGCACTCACGTATTCATACCTCGTATAGCTCGTATAGCTCGCATAGTTAGTCAACTTTTGGTGGCTAATACGCGCAGTTGGTCTCACAGTTAGCCGCGGACAGGTCCTAACGCAACAAAATGGCGGCAAATCGAGAATTTTTCAATGAGATTATCCATAATATAGACGATATATTCGGTATGTAATTGATACTGACAACTTTCAATTGAAATGTTTACATTTAATTAAAAGGGCGATTAGGGGATTTATTATAGTAATAGGACTGCTTAGGCTCTGCTGCTTTAAGCTGATATATTTTCAACAATTTCTTGAATGTTAGCAGAAGCAATTGAATGGGTTTAACCAAAACGTGTTCAGCATTCAATTTATTTTAATTTATTTTAGTTTTTTTCAAAAGAGAGAAGAACGTTCCTTTATTCATTTCATATTATTTTAAAGAGAAATAGTAAGATACAAAAAATAAAAGGCTTGACATAGTATAAAACTTAAAAAAAATAGAGTACAACAATTACAAACTTAAAAAAAAAAAGGAAAATTAAAATTAAATTATAAAAAAAAAAACAATCAAAAGTTTGATATAAATTTAATTTAAAATATAAACTTCAAAAATTAAAGTTTATCTAAAAAAAATTTTACATAAATTAAAAATATATTATATAAAATAATTAAAAATTAAAATACAAAAAATAATATATAAAAAATATATAAAAATTAAAATTAAAAAAAAAATAAAAATAAAAAATAATACAATTTTTGAATTATAATATAATAATAAAAAAAAATTAAATAAATAAATGCAAATATAAAAACCGGGACAAGAAAAAAAACAATTATACAACTAATTATTTAAACTTTTAAATAAAAAATATCATATATAAAAATAAAAAAAAAAATAATTATCCCCTTTACTTCTTTTATATTCTAAATTTGAGCTCATTTAAACTGTGCTTTATCTTTGTATTGTAATTTATGAAGAGTTAATTGCTTTCCAATTAAGATTGAATACTAATAGAATTATATTTATATATACTATATATAGCTGACTATTTAAAGCCGTAGCCTCTTCAAGTATGCTGTCATATTTCATAGTATTACCGAACCACAGACATAAATAATATATGTGCCCAATAGACTAACACACATACATACATACAAGACCTCATCAATCACACTCTCGACTTGAACTACATATGCACCTGTTTGAGCACATGCGCCTATTTTTAGCACACACACACACACTAACAAGTCTCTTGAGCTGCTCTGTGTTCGTTGCCGTGTCTCTCTGTCTGTCTCTGTGTGTGTATGTGTGTGTGTTGGTATTACAACTAGCCCGCTGTGCTGTACTGATAATCATCAACAATTACACCCAACGCTGCCCAACAACAACAACAACAACTCGAACAACAACAATCAGTGCCCGATGATCTGCACAGCGCTCGTCGTGAGCTCCAGGATGGCGAAATAGCGCGAACTCTCGAACGTTGCTACAGCGTCATTACAGAGTCCGGGAAGCTGTTGAGTGCCTCGACCGCCTCGGCCCTGTCGCATCGCAAGCCCTTGAGCGCCTCCTCGCTGCAGCTGTCCGTGACGAGCTATTTGAGCCGGTTCCTGAAGCGGCCCGTCTACGAGAAGATAAAGCGCCGGCAAACGCGCCTGGACCACAATCTCTTCGATGTGCTGTGGCCGGCGATGCGCAAGACGTCGAAGCTGCGCCACCTGGAGGAGGACATCAATTGTGGGATTATAGCGCCCGATTTCGATGTGTTTGTGGTGTTTCAGGAGTTTCTGGTGCCGCTGCTCAAGGATATGCACTGCCTGAGCATCGATGCGGAATTCAAGCCGCATCCGCGGCTCGCCTACTTTCCCATGGACAACGGGGAGCGTCTGAATACGGCCGCATTTGTCTACGACGACGAGTCGCAGCTGGTGACGCGTTGCATTGTGGAGGCATCCAGGAATCTGGACCAGCTGGAGCTGCCCCTCAATCTGACCATTGGCCAGATCGAGCAGGCCGAACGCCTCATGATGGGCCGCATATTTACGGCCAGCTTTGCCGAGGCCATTGGCGAAACGGAATCGGGCAGCTACTATACGCTGACAGAGCTCATGGAGCCGGACTCGGAGGTGGCCAAGCTGCTGGCCAGCCTGGGCCTGATGATACCCCTGCTCGATGACAAGGATCTGGTGCAGGCAGCCGAGTCGACGGCCTTCAATGGCGCACTGTGGCCGTATGGCCGCGGTGTCTACGTCAATTCCGCCCACAATATGGCGCTGTGGCTCAACTGTCAGGAGCATCTGCGCGTCATCTCGGCCAGCAGTGCCAAGGATCCGGCGGATATGGGCGCCACCTACACGCGGGTGGGTCGCGCCGTCACCTATCTGGAGACGCAGCTGCACTTCAAGGAGAGCTATCTGCTCGGCTATCTGCAGTCGCGGCCAGCCTACCTGGGCACTGGCCTCAAGATGACCACCATTGTGAAGCTGCCCAATCTGATGAAGGAGCTGGATAACTTGCGTCACCTGTGCTCGGTGCGCGGCCTGAGCATGGTGACCAATCGCCTGTCCAAGCTGACCGTGCGCTTGATCAATATGCAGAGCATGGGCGTTGTGGAGTATGTCCTGTTCCAGGACTATTGCACCGCCGTCACCAACATCCTCTCGCTGGAGAAGGACATGTCGCTAACGAACTCCAAGCATATTGCCACCATGCTGGTGAAGATCTTCAAGCGCAAAAAGCATAGCATTATCGATCGAAACTAACCAAAGAAACAAACCACAAATGAAACCAAATGAAAAGCACAATTCATACATTAATCAAATTCAATTTGTATTGTAAATACAACCGAGCACAACAAAAAAAACTACTTAAATTGTAATATATATATATATAGAGATAAACATATATACAGCTAATCGATCGATAGAGCTTACAGACAAACCAAAAATCAAATAAACCGTTTTAATTAAATACCAAAAACCACATCCTCAGCTTCGGCCGCAACGTCGCACGCAAAAAGTTTTCATGAGATACACGTACGTACCTATTGCTCCTGCTACACCCCGCCGCTAATCCCGATCCCAATTAGCAATGTGTACCGTTCTTTGATATGATTTGCCACACTTATCAGTTACAAGTAGTAGTTATTCGACTCGACTCTCGCTTTGTATATATAATAATATTTTTGATATATTTAGTCTACTTAGATGTTATCCTGATCCTCGGCTGTGTCTTATAAAGCTTCTCTGCATTCGCAGGTCAGTCGCAGCCCGTTACCTTTCAGGCCAATCCCATCTTCAAGACGGAACAGGGCAAATATCTGGCAGACAGTAAGTGAAGCATCATCATCATCATCATCATCAGCCCATAATCAGGTCTCGTTTGTCAGCTCTCGCCGATCCGCTGATCAAGGCCTTGACCGAGATAGCCAACAAACGTCCGAAGGATCCCGTTGCCTATTTAACCAGCTACTTGCAGCAATTTATGGGTCAGCGCAAGGCCCTCACCCAGGTCGTTGTCCACTCGGGCAACAGCAAGATCAGCGGCAACTCCACGGCCCGGGCCAACTCAGTGTCCAAGCTCAATGGCAGTCGAACGGGCAAGAGCCAGGCGGATATCATTGAGCTGGATGCCGGTTCGCTGGCCGAGGACCAGGAGGAGAATGATGAGGACGCCGCACTGGCTGTGCAGCACCTGGAGGAGCGCGACGAGCATGGCCAGAGCATGCTGCACTTTGCCTGCGCCCGCTCGCATCGTCGCGGTGCTCTGTACACCCTGATCGAGGAGTCGCGCATCGATATCACCTACAGGGATGAGCTGTATCGCACGGCCAGGGATGTGGCGCTGCAGGCGAATCAGCCCAATAATGCCACTGAAATCGATCGATATGTGCTCGCCCAGGCAGTGCTGGGTGGGGGCTAATTAACCCTTGTATTCCCTAAAATTCCCTAAACTCATTCCTTGCCCTTTCCAGGTGAAGTGGAGCCCTTTGAGCAGCTGGCCCTGCAGGGCTACGATCACATACTCGATGTGGAGGATGAGAATGGCAAGTCGATTCTAGATGTGGCCACGGAGCATCAGCACGAGGCACTTTTCAACTTCTTGAGCAATTTACGCACGCTGGAGGAGACGCGCGAGGAACTGCATCAAATGATACGCGATAAGAACATGGAAAGGCTCAAAGAGCTAACCGCCGTGCCCAATGTGAAATGGCTGATTAAAACGAAAAATTATTACGGTAGGTGGGCGAGAGATAAGAAGAATGAGGGAATGAGTGAGAGAGAGAGAGAGAGCAGAGTATCTAATCCAATCTTTCTCTAGGTCGCACTGCTCTGCACATAGCCGTGCTGAAGGAGTCGGAGGAAATGGTACAGCATCTGGTGCAGCTTTGCCCAGAGGCACTCAAAGTTACAGATAATGTGAGTTGGAGAAAGCTCTTCTTGTCTTTTCCTTATCATGCCTAACTCATCTTCCCTCTCTTCCTCTCTCAGCTGGAGCGCACCGTCTTGCATTATGCACTGGGCACCAATTTCTGTGAGAGCGTCAGTCGCATCCTTATACAAAACGGCGCCAAGCGCACGGCTAAGGATCTCAAGGGCAGACAGCCGAGCTACTACTTTATCAACAAGGCGGACATCCTGCGCCTGCAGGAGGAGGAGGAGGAAAGTCGCTGAGCAATATTTACGTTGTATAGAAACTCAACTAGCTCTAAGCTCTGTTCTAGTTCAATAAAAATGGAAATCGTTTAGCAATGATCGAACTCAAGTGAAACTCATTTCGCACTTCACACAGTCTGCGCATGATTCTCCGCCTAAGTGGCCCATTGAGATAAGCCTGAAGATTTGCTTAAGCTGCCTTGAGCAGCCACGCGAGACGGCCATTCATGACCGTCAAGTGCTGAGCGTTGGCCAACGTAACGGTGGTATCGTTACATGCTGAGATAAGATTACGACCAAATCCCTGGCCTTGCTGTGATTCCCGTGCGCTGCCGCTTATCGATTTTCGAGTTGAGACAGAATAAAAATGTTTTTTGATTTAAAAACCAGCTGGCCATAAATTAAATAAAGAATTTTCATATACAATTATTGAGAGAGTGCGCCAAAGCTGTTACACGAATTTTATTGCTCATTCACGATATTCAAATGAGTAAATGGATTTTGTTTGTTTGCCTGTTTGAATAGTAAAAGTTGAGTTAGAGTTTACTAAAGTTGACTTTTATTAAACGAATTTTAGTGATGTGAATTTAATAGTGTTATTAATATTATATTTTGGATTTTTGTAAATTAATTCTATATACCTTTGAATATTATTATTAAAATATTTCTATAGGGTATTAAAAAACCAGTGAAGCCTCTTGAGCCTGCGCTCAATTGAGCTGCGTCTTCTGCCTGTCTCGCCGTGAGCATTATCTAAGCAAATAAATGGAACAGCACAATCAATGAGCCTGTGTGACTGTGTGTGTGAATGCATAAATTTTTGTTTGATTTGCTGTCAATGGCCTATCAGACCCTGTGAAAAATCACTGATACTAACTATCAAAAAAAAATTTCGTGTGTAGCCGACTGTGCGAGTGAGTGTGTGTGTGTGCGCTGATTTCAAACAAATGCAAAAGCATGAAGCATTAACGTGCAGCTGGTTAGGTGTAAAGCCAGCGGAAAACAATTGAGAGTTTGAGTTGCTTGTCGAAGCTGAACGAGCGCGGTTCTCGCATCTAAAATCGAGCGATGACAACGGAAGTGAACAAGGGTAATGAAAAGTCTAGAATATGGTGAACAATTTAGGAATGTGCATCAAGAATTGTCTCTTGAAAAATTCTAACTGTAGTACGGCTATGATATACAATAGTGAAAAATATATATTGAAATAGTTATGGACATTTTCACAAGTTGTAATTCGTAAAACAGATGCCGCAGATTTGTTTGAGTGCAAAATTATTGAAGTGAAGCAAGTGACTAATTCTATTAGAATTTTTTTAGTTACAAAAGAAAGAGTTATTTATAGAAGATCCAAATAATATTTAAATATATATTATGGAATGTATATATATTTAAATTGGAATTTTGTTAGCTAAAAAAAATAGAGTTATGTATAGAAGATCCATATAGGATTTATATGTATTAAATCTGGATTTTATTTATATTAAAATTCGAATTTTATTAGCAAATAAAATGAGTTATTTATAGAGGATCAATCTAAGATTTATATATATTAAATATATATATAAATATATTAAATATCTCTCTCTCTCTCTCTCTGTCTCTCTCACTGTCTCTCTCTCTTTCTCTCTCTCCCTCTCTCTCTCTCTCTCTCTCTCTCTCTCTCTCTCTTTCTCTCTCTCTGACACATTATTCTATTTTATACCTATTTTATACCTATTTATCCATATATCATCCTCACTCTCTCTTCATTTACCGCTCCCCCTCTCTCTGTCTTTCTCTTTCTCTCTCTCTCTCTCTCTCTCTCTCTCTCTCACTCTCTCTCTCTCTCTCTCCTGCTCTTTCTAAGGGCTTCTCATTCCCTCTGTTTCTCTCTCTCATGCTTTTTCTTTCTAAGTTCTTCTCCATCTCTGTTTCTCTCTCTTTATTTTCTTACTCTCCATCTTTCCTTAAGTCTGTGTCTTTTCTCTCACATATCCCGTACAAATTCCCTTTCGCTCTCCTTTACATTCCACTTTTCCGGTCACGCTTTTCGCCATCTCCCGACTTATCCACATTCTGTTGATCCACATGCCCTAGAGCATTTGGTGTACGGTGCAGAGGGCAAATTACTTTGACTTTCGCTGCGCTTTTCGACGCTTTTCGACGCTTTTCGCGCTGTCGCTGCGGCCATTTTGTAGCCATTTCGGCCAATTCGGCTGCCAAGTGCAAGCGCAAAATGTTTATAATTAAACTTTAATGCGTATTTAATGAGCCCCGAGCTGGGGCCTTGAAAAAATAATGCAACTTTTAAATGTGAATTCACATTCACGCGAATGCGAATGCGAATGCGAATGTGAATGTGAATGAATATGAATATAAAAGCATTCACAGAGAGTTTGCTGCTGTTATGCAATGTTTACAAGGCCAACAACTTTGCACACCTACAAAACGAGAAAGGGAGAGTGAGAGAGAGAGAGAGAGAGAGAGAGAGTAGGAGTCTGACTGAAACTCAATCCCCTGATAATATAAATTTAATCGCTCGCCTAATTGTCTTCATGTGAAGCCAAGTAAATGGTGTTAAAAACTTTTGCAAACAAATTGCAACTAGTTGCAGGCAGAACGAACAAAGATGTTGACGCACCGGAATGGGCATGGTCATGGGCATGGGCATGGGCATGACTCTAGACTCTGACGACAAGGAGCTGTGAACAAATGCAGTAAAACGCAACTCGAGCAGTCGAGCTTTGAGCCACTTCAAAATGCAAGTTGCTGCCACTGATACTACGCAAAAGTTAAGCAGTCCAAAAAGTTTACACACACACACACAGAGAGAGAGAGAGAGAGAGTGGGAGGGGAGCGAGTGGGAGAGGCTATTCTGGTTAGTCGAGCAAAAGTTCCACTCAAATGAAAATGCTCTTCAAATATTTATGAAAACCCATTTTGAGCAGCAGCAAAAAAAAAAAACTGAAAAGCATGCATCATATAAAATGCAACAGTCTGTAATTGCTGGACGCACTGTGGTTCACGCTGGCTCCAGTTCCGCGCTAAACTTGTTTACAGTTTGTTTATTTAACAGCAAATTTATATTTAACTACAATTTGTCATATTTAAAGCTACACAGCTCACATTTGGAACCAGTTCAAATGAACTAGTTCACTTCATTGGTGAAGCCAGTCAAGAGGCAGATGTGCTCAAGTAAT